TTTTTGCTTACTAACCTAAAATGTTGACCCCTATGAGCTTCATGCCGCGGTGAGGTTGTCAGTTGATTCATATCAAATATCAATTTACTAGAGGCTAAACAAAGCAACAGCTGAAAGTAAACCGCTGTACTTTGGCCCTTAGGGGTTAACAATTAACATTTGAAATTGTCGAGTTTCAATGTTTTCATTTAATGCATCGAACTTCGTATCTATATCGATATAAATGTGCTATAGTAAAATTTAATGTTTGACACGTAGGACTCTAATTAGCAAGAGATTGATTTTTCATCTTGCAAGAAGTACTTTTCTTCACTTTCTAGTCATTTTGCGACCTTCCCTCTCCCTCCCGTCTCTCTTAATTATTTATCTTATAATTGAAACTCCTCTACATTAAAGAAGTTTTCTACCTTAGTATATAAGTACGTTTACTTAATAAAAAATATAGCAAAATTACCAAAAAAATCATAAACCTATTGTAACTATACCAATTCAGTTATAAATTTTTTTTTCCAATTGATTCCTAAACCTTTTGTATTTGTACCAATTTAGTCCATCTGGCCAATTTTAGTCGACCGGTGCTAACATGGACAATTTTTAATAGTATTTTAATTTTTCTTCAAATTTTAAATTATTTTTTATTTTTCCATGTTTTCTTTTCTTTCTCTTTCTTCTTTTTTCTTCCTTCTTCCTTTGGCAAGTCATCGGACCTCGATGACCGGCTAGAGGAAGAAGAAAGAAAAATAGGAGAAAGAAAAGAAAAAATAATTAAATTTTGGAAAAAAAATTATTAAAGATTGTTCGCGTCAGGGCCGGCAAGCCAAAATTAACCAAATAGACTGAATTGACAAATTGCAAAAAAGGTTTAGGATGCAATTGGAAAAAAAAAGTTTTGGATTGAATTGGCACAATTACAATAGATTTATGATTTTTTTGGCAATTTTTTCATAAAAATACATAACTTATGTCTACTTGAGACATGGTAATGAACAAATGAAATATAATTGGTCAAGATATCACGTTCACTACTTTATTATGTAAGCTGCTTTAATTATTAATGTTATTTTGATATTAGAATCTAATAATATGAACACGTTAACGTGAATTTTTCTTTGTACTTGACTATTTATATATTAATTTTTAGGATTAATATCACGGAAAATCTCAAATTGGTATACTTGTGACAAATTTACGCCAAACTAATTTTTTGACTACCAAAAACCCAAAAATTGGTACACTGATGACAAATTTACCATTCGTTAAATTTGATTAATACCATGAAAAATCACAAACTGATAAATCTGTGACAAACAAAGGAGTAACACCTTAAATTGGCACACTCGTCAACTGCCACGGGGAAATTGTCTAATCAATTCTAATCTATTGAACGTATGCCAATTTAATCTTAAACTTTTTCATTTTGCTAATTTAGTCCTAAACTTTTATACAAAATTTCAATATAATCATTCGGCCAATTTTCTCAGGAAATCGCCGATGTGCAATTGTGCCATGTAGGACGGCTAGTAATAACTAGACCACCACGTCAATAATTTCTAGCGAAAATTGACCAAAGTTATTACATTAGAAATTTAAGTAAAGGTTTATGACTAAATTAGCAAAATTAAAAAATTTAAGACTGAATTGACATTTGTACAATAGGTCTAGGAATGGTTGAGTAATTCTCTCTCAAAAAAGTTACACCAAGACATTTTTAACTAGTGGCGTGCTCCTTCATACTGTCATTGATATTTTGATTGGGATGCTATAGTTGTTCTATATAGAAGAACTCTTAAGCCCAAAAATAAAACTCATAAAGCATTCCAAGCACCATTTAAGTCCAAACTAGATGGATTCAAACAATCTTTTATTTGGGACAAAAACATTCTAACTATTTATTTTGGGGCAATGCATTTCAATGAGTGTTTTTTTTTTGGACGACATTTCAATGAGTTTTTTTTTTTGATCGAAACATTTCAATGAGTTGACATGTGAACTTTTTAGGCACGAACAGAATCTTTAGGCCCATCAGCAAGCAGCCACATTGGGCTGAACTCACTCCCAATTTCAGCCCAATCACCTATTGTCTCCACAACATGGACCATTGGCTGCTTAGGATAATCAGAGAAAAGAAGAGCTTTAACACACTAAAATATTAATTTCTCAATTCATTCAAACTTTCCCCTCATATTATGACCCCCTAATAACTTTCCCTAATTGATGAAGTAAACTACACAATTTCCATTGGATATAATTCCGTAGTATTATGGTCATGATCACATCTGGACCAACATCATCATCATTGTACATCTAGATAATAGTGTGATGTTTAGAGCAGTGGTGTATATTAGTCTTGGTCCAACCCAGAAACCAATTGGACCGGACCAAACTAGCTGGTTCTCGTCGGTTCCTACAGGAATCAGTCGAGTTCCTGGTTGCTGGAGAGGAGCCGAACCGAACATACGGAATCGGCTCATAGCATATTATTTTTTTATTTGTTTATTCGGTAAGGGCAAAAAGTATAGATTATTTGTGAAAGTAATCTCTTCTTTTACTAGTAACTTCCATATGATTAGTAATTTTATCCTACTTTGAATCAACTTTCGATATATGTTTAGAAAGAAAATATAACATTAAAAAATAACACCCCCGATTCCCGAGACAACTCAGGAACTAGACGAGGATCGGCCACTCTCGATAGGATCCAGTTCCAGGGTGGACAAGGTCGGTTCCCAATTCCATAGACTAATAACCGATCCAATTCAGTCCGGTTCTCGGTTTCAAGATGGGAACCGACCCACTACTTTAGAACCAATCACCCCTAGTTTGGAGCCTTAGGCAATTTTTTGTCCAAGGTGTATTGATTAATTAAAGCATACAAATCCGTGCTTCGAGAGATGATATCCAGAGAATGCATCAGCGCAAAATTTTGATTAAGTTCTTCAGTTAAAAAGACAAACACGGTTATGATTTGAGTAACCCCACACGATGCATATGAAACTCGAGTTCTGCCATTGAATGTGCTTGCTTATGATGCTGACTAGTTCCGCTATTTATTATATTAATAAAAAAATTTGATGTTACCGATTCATTATCCATGTCAACTGAGAAAATTACTTCGTCGATTAAACCCTAGACTTAAAAAATTAGCTATTTTTAAGAGGAGCCTCCATAAAAACTATATATAGTAAAAAGGAGATTACTAAAAATATTACTCTTCAGGAATTTTTTTTTCTAACATTTTAGCAGAGTTTATTCTATAAAAGGATTTAAGCATGTGCGAAGCTCGAGAAATAAAACTAGTGCCTTATATGTGCACGTATAATTACAAAAAAATATAAAATTATTAATTTATTATACTACGAGTGAATAATTGAACAAACAAGGTATATTTAAAATTCAACAAAAGTCAGTTCGATATTGAATATATTCATTTTGTACATCACAATCTTGATACATCTAACATGAATTTCTATGCCACCAACCGGGTTGGTAGACAACAAGAAGTGACATTCATCGTCTTCCAAACAGAGACAATGTCTGATTAACCAATTTAAAATTTAAAGGGTAATGCCATTTTTTTTGGGGTTGCAAATTAATGTCTGAATTTCTCTGACCAAAAGAAAATCAGGGATAAGTGTACTAGAAGTCCTAAAATTTGTCACAAAAGTGCAATTGAATTTTAAAACTTTCAAAAAGTGAAATCAAATCATAAAACTTGTCACGAAAGTCTAATCGAGTCTCAAAACTTTCAAAAGTGCAATAAACAGAAGGACTTAATTGGATCAATTTGACAAGTTTTTGGACTTGATTGTACTTTTTGAAGTTTTAGGAGTCAATTGCACTTTTATTATAAGTTTTAGGACTTCTAATGCACTTTATATCTAAATTTGAAAACTTTTATAAGGAGGAAACTTAATAAGGTAGGTGCCTTATTTTGAGTCTATTGATTTTGTCCATATTAATGATTTACGATGATGATATTCAAATCATATGTAGATTGCATTTTATTTGGAGAACTTACCAAAACATGCGATTGCTCGAAGATTAATTACCATGTTGATTCCTTACTGTTTATGCTGATTCTTGTTATTATATGACCAAAGCTAAGTAGTCTAAGACTTAATCACCGAACCGATACATCAATTGATCTGGCAAACTATATTGGTCGACATCGAATATGATTCATTTGTTGAACGTCCACTCTCAATTCGTCATAGCACCTATCAAACCAATCTCTACTTTTACTTCATCTCTATCGTCTCGTTATCATTAACCAAACGAGACCTAAAAGGTCGTGGAGTGGGGCGCTTACTTGGCATGTGACGCCTCCAACACGAAAAGGGAAAATGACACAAATAGTCTATGAATTTTGATCCAACGTGATCCCTGAACTTTTAATTTGTTCAATGTAATCCCTGAATTTTAGCCTAATATTCAATGTGCTCCTTAAACTTTTAACTTGTTCAATATGGTCCCTGAACTTTTGACATGTTTAATGTAGTATCCGAACTATATGAAAATGTTCAACAGAGTGTTTATGTTCAATATAGTCTATGAACTCGAATTATAAAAGGAATAGTTCAAGGACTACGTTGAATATATAACAAAAGTCCATGGATTACATTGAACAAATTAAAACTTCGGAGATGATATTTGATATTGAGCCAAAGTTCAAAAAGATTTTTAGTGATTCGGATGCACGCGAGCTCGCTACATGTGAGCCCTCGAATGACACGCGGGGGCAAAACGCAAAAGAAAAAGGCACTCCCTAATGGAGAAGCGGTCCACGCGAAACGATCTCTAGAGATCCCGGCATGGTCGCGGGCAGCGTAAGCTTCAGCGTGACGTATGTCCTTGCGCCATGAAGCTGTCGACTTTTGATTCCAAGAACACGACAACGAAAGATTTGGTCAAAGAAAGATGCGGCTCTCGACCGTGCAGTGTCGTGACTTCCTTGGTTTTTGTTGCCTTTTATGGCCGGCCCGTTTGCTATAAATCTATTCCTCTGGTTCACATTTCCATTCGCTTTTCTGCACCGTCTCCCGTCATCAGTCGCTAGCACTCCGTTTCCCCCGCAAGACCCAGAGTGGGACTCTAGACACTGAGGTCGAAGCTCGTTGTTTCGAGAAAAATGGCGCAGGCAATTCGTTTCGTCGAGCTCAACACCGGGGCCAAGATGTCCTCCGTCGGGCTGGGCACTTGGCAGTCCGATCCCGGCGTCGTCGCCGCCGCCGTCACCGACGCCATCAAGGTTCTCATTATTCCTGTTCTTTTGCTTCCGTTTGCTTCTGTTTTCTTGATTTTTTTTCTCCCGAAATTGCTGGGTGAATTTGGTGGGTGCATGAACCAGTTAAGAGTCGATTTGTGGTGCAAAGTGTGTCGTGCAATGTGGTTTCACGTCGAATCGGAGGCCGGAGATTTCGAGATTCAAAGATGGGTTGCAACACTAACGTGAAAAGTCGTGAACTTTCTTTCATTTTGTTGACCTTCGTTGCTTGGAGACAAGGAAATGGAGCCCGGTTTGTGCTGATGGTTGGTTCCGCTGTGATTGGGCGTCGTGGGTGACTCTGGTTTTCGCAATTTGATGGCTAACTTTTGCAGTTCCTAGTTTTTCTTCATTCGGTTCGATTTATTTGGTTCTGTGTTAAGCTGCAAAAATTGCCTGTCTCGGCAAAATTTAGGAGGATGTTAATTGTAGTTCTCTGCGTGTGCAGATTGGGTACAGGCATATTGATTGTGCTCAAGTTTATGGCAATGAGAAGGAGGTAATATTCTGTTCCTAGTTGCCAGTTTCTCGCATCTCTAAAGCCAGTTGTGTTGTCGATCAGCTCGTGAATTTTTCCCTCAAGTCATTCTCATGACAATCTCATCTTGTCCTCCTGCTAATGTGCCAAAGGACAAGATAATTGCAACATGTATCGGTGAAAGAGTTGTTAAATTCGATGCCATTGAATTGTCTGTCGGGTACAAGTTCGTGTGGGTGAGATATGGAGTGTACATTTTTGCATTGCACGCTTGACATTCCATTTGCCTTTGTGTCGTGTATGAATTGTATGGACTTTTGAAAGTTGCCCTGGGAAATCAATATGTTCTTGTCCTGTTTTGCGCCTTTTGTATCTTCATCATTTAAAAAAAAAAGAATAGGTTGCTCAATGCTGAACAGTGAATACTTCAGCTATTAAATATTGAAAGGTAGAGAGGCATATTATTATCATTTTTTGAGGTCTTAAAGTTCTTTTTTTTCCCTTTCACTTTGGTGTTTAAGGGATAAGGCAAGTATTCCTAATCTGAAATGGTCTCCAGTAACTTGTGCACTTCACTCATTCTTAAACACTTAAAGCTTTTGTGAAAACTGCGATCTAGCTCTCATTTGAACCCGAGGCTTATACTTTAAAAAGGATATCTACTTTTAGTCATTCCAACCCACAAAAACAAAAAAGGTGCCTTAGTTGCTCACGGGATGTGCTCAAATGCATTATATGTTGCTTAGTTTTAGTTGGGGGATAGTCAAAAGAAGTCAGGAGAACAACGATCTCTACCAGTAGGTTGATATTGCCCTGTTTCAAAAAGTCACTTTCAATAGATCCGGAACTTAATTTTCCCATTAGGAAGAAGTCAACATTTGCTTTCTTGTAGTTTCATGGTAGGAGATCAATTATTCCTTTTTCCTTTCTATTGCTAACGCACATTTCTCTTACGAGGGCACAATCAAGATGCGGTCATTTTGCAGGATGGTAAAAAAGCTCTGCTTTTGCTAATTTGGTCTTCCAATTTTCAACAGGTTGGTACTGCTCTCCAGAAATTATTCAGCGAGGGTGTGGTGAAGCGTGAGGATTTGTGGATCACTTCCAAGCTATGGTATGCTCTGGTTCTTCCCTATGCTTCGAACATATTTTGATCAGTTTTTTTGAGTTTTGAATCAGTAATGTTAATCCTAGGACCATGCGACCAGAAAACATGGTAATTCATCACCGGATCACCTTATCACTCATGCCCTCCTTTTTGTCTGATTTCTTAAACAATTTGCTGCAGGTGTAATGATCACGCACCAGAAGATGCTCCCAAGGCATTAGACAGAACCTTGGAGAACTTGCAGCTCGACTATCTGGATCTTTACCTGGTACAGATTCGACGATGAACTTTTCTGGCTTATTTAAGGACAGAATGCTTTTCCTGTTTTATGTCCATTTCTGTGTGCCATTAGGATGTACATAAAAATACGACTTAGTGTGGTTTACTGTTTGAAGATCCACTGGCCCGTGAGCATGAGGAAGGGCTCGGTCGGCTTCAAGCCTGAAAACCTTACCCAGCCAGACATACCCAGTACGTGGAAAGCGATGGAGGCACTATACCATTCGGGCAAGGCTCGAGCTATTGGAGTGAGCAACTTCTCCTCCAAGAAGCTTGGCGATTTGCTGGACATCGCGGAAGTTCCTCCTGCTGTCAACCAAGTGGAATGCCACCCTTATTGGCAGCAAGGGAAGCTGCGCGAGTTTTGCAAATCCAAGGGCGTACATTTATCGGTAAGTGACTTGCTAAGATATCTCGATAACGATGCACGTGGACTTTAATGCGTCGATTATTGAAAGTGCAAGACAGGAAAATGGTTTTCCTCTATCATCATGCAGTATATTCTTCAAATTTTAGCTTGAATTTTTTCCTTGGAAACTCCCTATTATATGAGTTTCTTGGCAAAAGTAGTTCTTAACAATTTTAAAGGTGTCAACATGACATGCTTGACATTGATATGAAGCATTCTGCTCTCATCCTTCTCATGTCCATTTTCATCTTCTTTCCTTATGGGTCGCAGTTGTATCTGCTGCCTCCTTACCAGTTAGTTAAAACAAATAATTAAACCCTTTGGATCTATGGACATGCTTTCACTTCTTATTTACTACTTGTCAGTTATTTAGTTTGAATCAAAATTATTTTTCTGTCATATAGGGTTATTCGCCCTTAGGTTCCCCGGGCACGGGATCTCTCAAGAGCGATATCCTTAAGAATCCAGTTATCACTACCATAGCAGAGAAACTGGGCAAGACTCCGGCTCAGGTGGCACTTCGTTGGGGACTCCAACTGGGCCACAGCGTGCTTCCCAAAAGCACGAACGAAGCAAGAATCAAGGAAAACTTCAACGTCTTCGACTGGTCCATACCCGATGACTTGTTCTGCAAGTTTTCTGAAATACCTCAGGCAAGTAATTTCTGTTCGCTGTTTCCTCGTCCACTAGCGGTCTCTTCCTATATGCTATGCAATCCAACAGGCACGAGCCAAAGTATAGCGAAACTGAGAGCTAAGAATTTACAAATCCTTGAACTGACAGATTTTTTTTTTTTGTTCGTGCAGGTGAAACTGATCAAGGGTACCGGCTTTGTGCATGAGACCCTGGGTGCATACAAGACGGTCAAAGAACTTTGGGACGGCGAGGTTTGAATAGACATAAGCAACCAATCTGAAGCTTGAGAGCTGCGTTTTTCGTCAATACCTTAGCTTAGCTTCTATTTTACTTTCATATTAGCTGCTTATGCCTATGTTTAATGCAGAACAATAAATTCGAACATCTTATTAGCCTTTTAGCTCATCAATCAGGGTAACTGCGATTGAAGATGCTTGAAAGGCGCGACTGTTTGCGTATTCTTGTCTGATATATATGACCTACTGTTATGGAGTCGTATTCAAGAGGGGGTTTAATGGTATGAGATTGACTTGAGTCGAATAGGTTCAAATTGGAGGACTATGCGCATGAAACCATGAGCTTACGAATACGCAAAACTCCCCAAGTTTTCAATCTCTATCTTTCCCTCCTAAGTTTCCCCGTGTCTGTTGCGCTTCTCTATCTGCCCTCTCCGGGACAGAGGCCACCGGCCTTAGGCGACCTGGATCAAAGGTCACCATAGGCTAAGTGAACTCCGATTCGCGAGGGATTCGACCATCGTGCGAACCCAGCCCCTACAGTCATAAAGGGAGAGAGAGAGTGTGCGTGTTGCCCATTCTTCAAGGGGATAGAGAGACGGCGGGCGTAGGTCAGGCAAGCGACGGGGCAGCTGAGGGGTGTGGCGTGCATTGTGGCCGTCGAAGAGAGGAAAGAGAGAGGATGTACGGTGACGCTCGAAAGAGATTGAATCGAGAAAATCGAGAAAGGGGGCCACGAATGGGAGAGAGGATGGAGAGACGGTGACGGAGACGGTGTGTGACAATAGTGAGGAGCAAGTGGTGACGGTTGTGTGGTCCAACAGTGAGGCTCGGTGCCATGGAGGTGGCGGTGGAGGCAGAGGGATTGGAGAGGAGAGAGAAATGTGTGTTGAATTAAGGGATAATGACACAAATAGTCCATGAATTTTAACTTAATGTGCAATGTGGTCAATGAACTTTTAATTTGTTCAATGCGATCATCATCTTCAGGATAAAGAGAACAAAGTTGATCAAAACCAACAACATCAGTGCGCATGGTCACGAGTGTCGCAGCACGTCGACTGAGTGCATCCGCCACTTTATTTAAACGGCCTGCCTTATGACGAAGCACAAAATTAAACTGCTCCAAAAAGAAAACCCATCGTGTATGCATCCTATTCAAATGCTTCTGACTCTTGATGTATTTAAAAGCTTGATGATTAGTTTTAAAAACAAATTCTTACTCATAAAGATAGGACTGCCAGTGCTTTATAGCGCGCACTACCGCCGATGAACTTCATTAAGTTTCTCACTTAAAAAAGCAATAGGCTTACCTTCTTGGGAAAGAACAGCGCCGATTCCAATACCCGAAGCATCTCAGTCCAGCTCAAACACTTTCTCAAAATCAGGGAGCATCGATACTAGTGCCGTTGAGAGTTTTTCTTTGATAAGCTTGAAGCTGGCCGAAGCTTCATCACCCCAATGGAATTTGCCTTTCTTTAAACAATCAGTGATCGAGGCTACAATTGTACTAAAATCTCGAATAAAACGTCTGTAGAACGTCGCAAGGCCATGGAAACTTCGAGCCTCGCCAACATTATGTGGAACTGGCCAATCACGGATCACAGCTACCTTTTCTGCATCAACGTGAAGTCCATCGGCTCCAACAACAAAACCCAAGAAAAGGAGTCGCTCGGTCATGAAGCTGCACTTCTTCAGATTAATAAATAATTGATTTTTCTACAAGGTTAGCAGGACATCTCTCAAGTGCTCCATGTGCTATCGATCGTCCGGAATATAGATGAGAATATCATCAAAGAAAACAACCACAAACTTGCCAATAAAAGGTTTGAGCACCTGAGTCATCAAACGCATAAAAGTACTAGGTGCGTTAGTGAGTCCAAACGGCATGACAAGCCATTCGTACAAACCTGCACTCGTTTTAAAGGCGGTCTTCCACTCGTCACCCGGACGGATGCGAACTTAGTGGTAGCCGCTTCGAAGGTCGATCTTTGTAAAGACTCGTGATCCAGCAAGTCTGTCCAGCATGTCATCAAGCTGGGGAATTGGAAACCTATACTTGATAGTTATCCGATTAATGGCATGGCTGTCAACGCACATACGCATACTGCCATCTTTCTTCAGCGTGAGAAGTGCAGGAACGGCACAAAGGCTTTTGCTCTCGCGCAAGAAGCCTTTGCGTAGGAGTTCTCCCACCTCCTCTTGTAAAATCTGATTCTCCTTTGGATTCATTCGATAATGCGGCAGATTAGGGAGACTGGCACCTGGTAGAAAGTTAATCTCATGCTGGATATCGCTCAGATGAGGTAATCCGTCAGATAAATCATCTGGCATGACATCACAGAACACCTTTAGCAAGGGCTTAAGAGCTTCAGGAATACGAATAATAGTCTGTTGTTCACCCTTCTCTACGAGCATGTACATTCCTTCACGTTTATGAACATTCAACATAACTCTTGCACTTTGCACAACACCAGAACCTTATTTCTTTGGGACCTGGGGAGTATTACCCCTTGGCTTCAAGGTAATTTTAGTCTTATTCCATACAAAAGAATAAATATTCTCCCTAGCTCGATGAGTGATATCCACGTCATATTGCCATGGTCGCCCTAATAACACATGACATGTATCCATCTCCACAACATCGCACACAATAGTATCCTGATATGACTTTCCAATTGAAATAGGTAAACAACATACATGTGTTACCCTAAGCTCTGGTCCTTTGCGAATCCACCCGATTGTACAAGGCGCGGAATGTGGCTCCATCTTCAACTGTAAGTGATCCACTAAAGCCTTTGATACTATATTCTCGTAACTTCCGCTGTCAATAATAACATCGCATACCCTGCCGTTGACAGTACATCGAGCGCGAAAAAGCTGATTTCTCTGGGTGTCCTCTATCCGCGGAGCAAGCAATAAACGATGAACAACACAATTCACTTGCTCGCCCGCCTCATCTTCCACTTCTTCTTCGTCCACCCAATCTTCCTCATTCATCTCATCTTCATGCTCAACGATATTGGCCATTCTCCGACGGGGACAATCGCTTGAACGATGGCCCAATTCGTTACACTTATAGTACTTGATCGGTTGCGGCTTGGCATAAGGATTCTGGACATTTAGAGTACAGTTGTTTGCCGCGACTGGTTCCGTAGGCATCCCAGTAACACTTCCCGATGCTCGGTTCATATCACCGGTTTGCTGATTTGAGGAACCTGAGACATCAATCTGCTTCCCCTTTCCGAATGTTCCACGACCCGAATAATTGCTTCCACGAATACTAGGGCTAGTCCTCTCCAATTGCATCTCAATTTTTCGCGCCATCTCTTGGGCGTCTTCAACAGAAAATACACGTTGCAAAGAAACACGATCTTGAATGTTCAGTCACAAGCCATTTATGTACCTAGCAGTTTGTTGTGCTTCCGATTCAGCTAGGTTATTACAGGCGGAAAGTCGGGGGAACTCTTCCGTATAAGCTTGGACTGTTCGGTTCGACTGCTTGCAATTCTGAAATTGCTGAAACAACAGTTGCTCATAATCAGTGGGGAGAAACCGTGATTTCAGCATCTGTTTCATTCGATTCCACGTTCGGATGGGAGCCTTTCCTTGTCGACGTCGGTTAATTGCGTCTGCTCCCACCAAGCCGAAGTGCCACCCTTCAATTTGTATGCCACTAATTTAACTTGTTGATCCTCTTCAATTTCCATGGCATCAAAGAATTTTTCGACTTCCCACAGCCAATCCAAGAAATCTTTGATGTTCAAATTCCCGTTGAAGGTTGGAAGATCGACTTTTAATTGATATTGCTCAGGATCCCGTTGATGTCCTCCATAGCGCCGACCTCCACGAACACGATCATTCTGGAATTCTCTATTCTACTGTCCTCTTCGAATGGGCACGTCTAGGAAATCTTCTTCATCTTCGTCTTCAAAGTCTTCGACATAGTCTACTCGCCTATGCCGGACATCCTATATAGAGATAGGACTCTTATTGGAAACCGAATAATTAAAGATAACATCAAATAAACCAAATCTTTCAAATAGAATATTTGAAATTAATGACAATTACGAATTTCCTAACATAGAAAACTGCCTGAAAAACCTATCTAGACGACTCCGGAATGCTAAAATCCATTGTAGGTCACGGCGAAGCAGTGAGTTCGAATCAGACGGTCAATTCGCTTCACCCACCCAACTTTGAACGCAATCCGAGGTCGTCAGACCCAAGATCAGAAAAATTGCCGAGATTTCCGGCGATCGTGACGATCACGTCGTTCAAGATAATCGCACGCCAACTGTTCTACATCAGTTTTTCCTAATCTTTTATTGGAAATCTCTAAAGTTACGTTTGGTAGTCGGGATAAAATTTAGGATATGATAAATTTATCTTATCCCATGTTTAGTGCATACAAAAGACAAGATAAAGTCGAATATAGCAGAGATATAGTTTGGATATAATTATCCCATAGGAAAGGTGGAATAAAAGTGATAGGATTTCTAATATCCATAATATAAAAGTTATTTTTAACGAATAACAAACTTGTTATATTTTATAAAATTAAAATAATATTTTAATATAAATAATATTTGAATTTTAATATAAAAATTCAAAATACAAAAAATAATAATAATTTTGTTTTTAGTTATTCTTATTTTTATTTATATATTCAGATTTCTTTCTATCTTATGATATAAATTTCATATATATAAATATATATTTAGTATTTATATTTATTACTTATTTTAGGTATATTAGTATAATTTACTAAAATTTTCTTAAAGAATGATGGAAGGGGAAAAAAAAGAATTAACAAAAGAGGGAAATAAAAAAAAAGCAAACAAAAATGAATTAGGTAAGAGTATAGCGAGAGATTTTTATTATCTCCGTTTGTGCAATTTTTAGGTTTATTTACACCGATATGACATTCGTAGTAAATAATGGATATGGTAAGATGTGAAAATATTCAACTTTATTATTGCGATTCACCGAACAGTAGATAGAACATAGAAAAGGGTTAATACCACGAAAAACCTAAAACTTGTACACTTGTGACAATTTTACTCCGAACTAATATTTTGACCACCAAAAACTCTAAACTGGTACACACGTGACAAATTTATCCTGAACTATTTTTTTTTACCACAAAAAATCCTAAATTGGTACATTTGTGACAATTTTATTCTGAATTAATTTTTTGATCACCAAAAATCCCAAACTAGTATACCTGTTACAAATTTATCTCAAACTAATTTTTTGACCACCAA